GTCTTCCATTGTCCCTAATAATATTGATGCCCAAAATGACATCCGCCTCCCCCACATCCTTCATCTAAAAAAATGAGGATAAGAATTCCTTGGTCAATTCTACTTGTTGTAGACTTGTACCAAAGATAAGCATATCATCAACATATAGACAAATGATGACACCATGACCTTTGTCATCAAATTTTCTATAAGTACACTTATCATCTTGATTCACTTTGAATCCAAAGGACAAAATCGTGTCATCAAATTTCCAATGCCACTGTTTTGGTGCTTGTTTAAGTCCATACAATGACTTAACCAATTTGCACATCTTATCTTCCTGTCCTTCCAAAACAAATCCTTCGGGTTGTTTCATATACACTTCTTCCTCTAGATCTCCATAAAGGAATGCCGTTTTGACATCCATTTGATGAATCACTAGATTATATACCGAAGTCATTGCAATCAATAACCTTAGGGAGGTAATTCTTGCAACCGGTGCATAGGTATCGAAATAATCAACACCATGCTTTTGCCTAAAGCCTTGGATAACCAATCTGGCTTTAAATTTCACTATGGAGCCATCCGGTCTCCTTTTCCTAGTGAAAATCCACTTGCAACCAAGAGGTTTGCAACCGGGAGGTAAATCCTCTATGACCCAAGTATTATTTCCCATGATGGAATCCATCTCATCATTTATAGCTTCCTTCCAAAATGCACTATCTTGGGAAGATATAGCCTCGCTATAAGTCTTTGGGTCACTATCCATATTGAAACAATATGGAGTAGTAGAACTAAGGACATCCCTAGATCCTTCAACCAAATAAATTATGAAGTCATCTAGAGGATTCCTAATTTTCCTTTCTCTAGTACTTCTCCTCACTTGAGGAGTTTCAACATTCTCATTATCGAATGTACTTTCATGAGTTTCAAGTTAATCATTCAACTCTACTATCTCCCTATCATTGGCACTGATCCGTAGATCTTTCGGTCAACTCATTGATACTCATTGATGAAAATAGATTTTCATCAAATATTGCATCTCTTGACTCAATAACCGAATGAATCGATATATAGTCATTTTTTTCTATTACATAGAACCTATAGGTTTTGCTAAGCTCAGCATAACCTATAAATATGCAATCCAAGCCCCTTTTACCGAGCTTTCTTTTCTTGTTGTCGGGCACTCTTACGATTGCCCTACAACCCCAAACCTTGAGATACTTCAAGTTTGGTTTTCTTTTGTACCAAAGTTCATAAGGAGTAGATTGTTTTCCCTTAGTGGGAACCCGGTTAAGAATGTGACAAGCTGTCAACATTGCTTCACCCCAGAACCCTTCACTCAAACCAGAGTAAGATAACATGGAATTAACCATTTCTTCAAGAGTTCTGTTTTTCCTTTCAGCTACACCATTTTATTGTGGTGCATAACCAGTTGTAGTCTCATGAATTATACCCAAAGATTGGAAATAAACTGGATCATAATATTCCCCTTCCTTATCAATTCTAATTCTCTTAATTAATGATTCTACTAGCAATTCTACTTCTCTTTTATAAATATCAAACTTTGTTAAAACTTCATCTTTGGAATGCAAAAGATACACATAACAAAACCTAGAATAATCATCTATAAACGTTATCATGTATCTTTTGTTCCCCAAAGAAGGAGTACTATGAAAATCACACAAGTCACTATGGATTAGTTCTAAAATATTAGAACTTCTCTCAACTCTCTTAAAAGGAGTTCTAGTGATCTTGTTCAACATGCAAGTAGAACATTTATTAGGAGAAATATCACAAGAAGGAATCAATTCTTGTTTGGACATAAAAAGCATTTTACTATAATTCACATGTCCTAATCTAGAATGCCATAAGTTAAACAAACTCAAATCAACATGATTATCATTGACATCAACATTCAAACATAAACCATCATCAAATACATACTTGTCTTTCAAAGAAAGTTTAAACAAACCATTGTCTACATAACAACGACCAACAAATGTTACACCCCTAGTAATTATGCATCTATTAGCTTCAAATACAAGCTTATTTCCAAGACTATTCAAGGTAGGCCCGGATACAAGGTTCCTACTAATTTCCGGAGCATACAAAACATTCCTAAGAATTATTGTAGTCCCCGAACTAAACACAAGCTCAACTTGTCCTCTTCCAAGAACCTTGATGGTAGAGTTGTTCCCCATGTAGAGGTCTTCTCCATCAACAACCTTTTGAAAGGTTTTGAACTAGTGTTTACTCTTGCATACATGCCTTGAAGCCCCCGAATCAATCCACCATGAGTCATCATCCTGCACCATTAAAATGTTAAGATCCGTTGCATTTAAATCCAAACCAGAATTAAATTCAACCTCATGAATTGGATTACCTTTGGTGGGTGGGTTCTTGCTTTCATTAGCACGACCCTCCTTAGCTTTCTCCATCCTTTTCTTAAAAGAAAAGCAGTCCTTCTTGCGGTGACCAACCTTACCGCATTCCCAACAAGCAAACTTGTTATTGTTTGCTTGCTTTTTGGACTTTCCTTTGGAAGAATTATTATTCTTCCTCTTTCCACTAGTAGATGCACTAGCTCTCCCTTCATCTACCATATTAACAGTAGATGTGCTAGGATTTCCATCCTTAGCTCCTTCCATGGCACGAATCCCTTCTTCAATTTGAAGATGGGTGGCCAAACCGGACAATGTCATGTCCTCTTTCTTGTGTTTCAAGTTATGCTTAACACTTATCCAACTAAGGGGTAACTTATCAATGATACTAGAAACAACAAACAATTCATTCATGGCTATTCCATGTTGTTCCAAGCTACCATATATACGTTGCAATTCATGAAATCGGTCCATTATGGACCGACCATCAACAAATTTAAAATTATTAAAATTGCTAACCAAGAATTTCTTACTTGAAGCGTCTTCCGCCATGTATTTGCTCTCTAAGAACTCCCAAAGCTCCTTAGCCAACACAATGTTTTGGTAAACATCAAACAAGTCATCCTCCATACCATTCAAGATATGACCACGACAAATGAAATCATCATTGTCCCATTTCGATCTTTCCCGAACGGATTCCAAGGTCTCATTCTCATGTTCATCCGGCCTTGGAGTACTAATAACATAGGCTACATTCAAAGATGTAAGAAGAAAATACATCTTCTTCTTCCATCTTCGAAACTCCACACCGTCAAACTTCTTGAGTTTGACAAAATTTGTGATCAATTCTTTCACACTAGACATGCTTGCTAAAGTATTAAACTCTTTAGATTGTTAGGTTTTCAGTAATTCAAGACAAGAATTACTAATAAATGTGGGAACAAAAACCTAAAATGAAGTATAATTCAACTAGATTATACAACAATCAATATTATTCAAAATATTACAACCAAACACCAAATTATCAAAGTATTACAGAAAATACTAAGAAAAACACTAATGTGAAAGATATTACATTTGCCTCAACTCCAAGCCTTTGAGAACGAACATGAACATGAGAAATGCTATGACCACTCGAGTCTCAATCCTTGATACACTGTCTTAAGCGTGTGAACACTTTCCTAAAGAGTTTAATTTCCCCCACAACGGTGTTTGGGTTTAATCCAAAAATACTCTTTGAGATATAAAAGACAACCAATCGTTCTTTGCACTAAGAATCGAATTAAAGATGACTAATTCACAAAATTGGATTAATTGAAAGAGTTTTCTCACAAAAGTTTGCAAGAAATTTGAGAGAAAAGTGTAGAGAATACTGCTTGGGGAGAAGAAGAAAATCAGTGTACCCTTTTCTTCACGAAATAAGCCTTTTAATAAAAGACTCAACCGTTAGAAAAAACCGCAAAACAGGTAGGCGCGGGCGCTCCACCAGGAGGCACGGGCGCGCCATCAGGTGGAGCGGGGGCTCCTATATTAGGAGCGGGCGCTCCTCATCAGAAATGCAAAATTTCCACAGGAAGGCAGAAGGGGGCGCGGTTTAGGCGCGACTGGACGCGCGGGCGCGCCAACCTTACCCTTCCAAAGTTCCAAATTCCAGAGAGGTACGTGGTTTAGGCGCGCTCTCTGCGCGGCCGCGCTTAACTTGCGCGAGCGCTCCTTCATGGTCGCGATCGCGCAACCATCAACACTCTAAATATCCACCATGGACTGCCGCAAACCAATACCTACAACACTGATTCCGTCGCGCACAACACTAACAACTGGTCACTAATCCCAACAACAGTCACATCATACTTTTCGTTCGCCAAATCAGCAATTGCAGCCCCAATTCGGCCCAATTTCAAATTAATTGAAGCCCAATTCAGCCCCAATTCTGCCATTGAAGGAGTGGGGGAGGTGGGAGGTTTGATGAGAGCTTTAAAGGAGGAGAAAGAAAGAGAAAGAGGATTTTGAGTGGTAAGAATGAAAAAATGGTGGGAGCTTGGATTCTAGTGATGGTTTAGGTGGGGAGTGATAGGGAAGGGGAGTGTTGCAGATTGGGGATCGGGAAGGTTGATTTTGTTTTGTTTTTTTTTTTTTTTTTTCGGTGTGAGGGTGGCTGGATGTGGTGGTGGTGAATTGGTTGGGAGGGAATCAAGGAGGGGGACTGCCCGCTAGGTCAGGTTGTTCCGGCGGGCGGCTGATCAGGCGAGGGGGGGGGGGCTCCGACAGAGGAAGGAAAAAGAAGGGTTTTTTTTTTTGTTTATTCCTTTATTTTTTAAAAATAAAAAAAATTTAAATAACCAATTAGAAGACAACACGTGGCAAAATATCTTGAGAATATAAGGTAAAAGTCGGTGACCAATTTCACTAACAGGTAAAAGCCTTATTTTGAGAATATAAGGTATAAAGCTGGGATTATTTCCAACACAAAAATGGGATTGTTTTGAAAAAAATGTGCCACAGGTGGAATTATTAGTTTCAAATTTTTTTATTTAATATATTTATCTATTGGGCTATTCTAAATATGGCCTATACAATTGGCAATAGTCCATCAAGTCATATTCCATTAAAGCCCATAAATTTTTATGTACAAATAACCCCTTAATCAGAAGTTTGTAACAGAAACTTGTTTTGTATTGCAAGTTTGTAACTGCAACCACCGAAATTCCCCTCTTTTGATCAAGCCCTAGGTTTTTCCCTCTCCTCACTTTCTCTACTGATTTCTTCGTCAATTTCTTGAATTAAACCTTAGAATTCATTCTTAGTTCCTCGAATTTGTGTTTTATTGAATTCTCATCGATTTTTGTCAGCTATCAAATTTCAGGAATAATGGCTCGAGTTTATGTCGGTAATCTGGATCCTCAAGTCACCGAACGTGAGCTCGAGGATGAATTTCGAGTTTATGGCGTTCTTCGCAGGTTAAGATTTTTTTCCTTTTTCTGTATCTTATACAAAATTTTCAACCTTAATTTTGATTCGAGTAGTTTAAACTGGGATTCCTTTTTCGTTGTTCTGATTCTGAAATGTAAATGTTTGGCAAATTTGTCTATCTTTATAATTGGGTTATTTTACATTATTTTATTTTTATCAAATTAGATGATTTTAGCTTTGATGATGATTTCTTATGCTAGCAAATTACCAATTTACCATGATTGCAGTGTGTGGGTTGCTCGAAGGCCACCGGGCTATGCTTTTATCGAATTCGATGACAAAAGGGATGCACTTGATGCAATTCAAGCTCTTGATGGTATCTTTTCTTCTTGTTTGGTCTTTAATTGAAGAAATTAATTGGGTGGAGCATTTTTCGTTCTTGAATTTATTTATCACATGCTTGATACATCTCTTCCAATTGTATTTCCTTTGTTATTATGATTCTTTAATGCTTTGTTCCTTTGGAGTTGTCGGAACCGGGTATTATCGATGATCCTTTTCTCAGACTGCTATATTATGTAACTTGGCTTCAATTTGTTGCTAGCCTTATATCAAGATAAGCTGTTCATATGTCCTACCATGGGAAATTTAGAGAGCGGCTTAAAGAATAGTGTTTTTTTTTTTATTTATTTTTTTTTTTCATAAAAAAAAACATGTTTTTTTTTGTAAAGTTTGCTGAGAGGTAATAGGTTTGGATTCCCGTTCTTGGCTGTTCTTAATCTTTCTTACAACTTTGCTGTTTATGCCATTGTGTATTACATGGGGATTACCTTATGTCCCTCTGGTTGTTTATAGCGCATAATTTTAATAATCATTGAATGTTGTAACTTGTCATGAAGTTTTGATTGTCGACTATGTCATTATCACTATACACTATTTGGTATTTTTATGGTTTTGGATCTCTTTTTGATGTTTGATGGAAGTTTGAATTGCCTACATTATGTCTGAGTTGGCCTAGTTGCAATGTGAACTTGGTGTTGCCAAATACTTTCCCCCGTTTCATAATAATTAACACACTTTGACTTTTTTTTCTGACTATTCATAATAATAGCGCGTATGAAAAACAATTAGTATCATGTAATATGTTTTTAAGTAGATATTAATGTGAAGTTTAATAATATCAGCTTTTTATTCATGTTAAATTAGATATTAATGTGAAAGATTAATATTTTCAAACTCATACATCGGCATGTGCCAAGCCTGGTTGTGTCAATTATTATGTAACGGAGTCAGAATGTTGTTTTGGATTATTATGTTTGCTTTGTTATGTATTACCATGTTGGATTACTCATGAACAAGCTTATACAACAGGAAGGAATGGCTGGCGAGTGGAACTGTCTCGTAATACCAAGGGAGGTGGAGGTCGTGGTGGACGTGGGCATGGGGGTGATGATATGAAATGCTATGAATGTGGTGAACCTGGTCACTTTGCTCGTGAATGTCGCTTGCGAGTTGGTTCAAGAGGGGTAGGTGGTGGACGGCGTCGTAGTCCTTCCCCTATTCGTCATCGTGGAAGTCCTAGTTATGGCCGCAGGTCTGCTTTTGTGATTTAGTGAATGCTTCTCTATTTGTTTGTTTTTCTATAAAGGATGGTTGTGTTGATATTTTGGAAGTTCTTTCAGTGTTTTTTTTTTTTTTATTTTTTTTATTTATTTATCTATTTTTTTCCAATCTATTGTTGCAGCTCAATTTTGGCCAATTGGTTCTGTATTTTTTTCTAGTTATATCATAAATTTGTTTAATATAACCTGTTGCCTAATCTATAAGATACTTTTTGTTAATTTCGCCTGCCATCTGATTTTTTGTCACTGTTTTCTCGACTTGCAATGATTGATGTGATGAGGTTATCATGTGGCAGGAGTTATAGCCCACGTGGATACAGCCCACGAGGAAGGAGGTCACCACTACCACCAAGGAAACGGAGCATATCACCTGCATATCGTCGTGGTCGAAGCTACAGTAGATCACCACCAGTTCGTCGTGCTCGTCGTGCCTCACCCTATGCTAATGGGTATGTGATGTTTTTCACATTAATCACCTTACCATGTTATTGCTATTTATTGTTGATAAAATGTTCATTTTCTATTACTGGCAAAATATATTCTTAGCTGATAGTTGTTTGATAATCAAGATGTGAGTTTTAATGTCTCTAATACCCAAAAGGTTACAATTGCTGTGAATTATTATTGGCAATTGCCTATTCGGTAACAAGTGTGGTTTAATCTCTATCTAGTAAAGCTGTTATGTGACTGATGTGATTCACTTAGGTTTTGAGGAGTACTATGGTTTTCTCCTATTTTTGGAGGTTAGACAAAATACAGGGTGTTGTAGAGTAACTTGTAGTGTAGACTTTTATGAAATTGTGGAAATATAATTATATATAATTACATTAATTTACTGTTGCCCCCTGGTCGAGCTTTGTGTGGTATATTTATGTTTGTAATAGCATTTACCGCACTAAGTTATTTGTCGCCCTATATTAGATACTAATATACACTTCGATCTTGTATTGCAGACTATATCCTTGAACTTTCTCTGTGCTTCACTGCTTCCAGTCTTAATTCATTTATATATTTTTTGGTTGCAGAGTTTGATGCTGATAAATGGTGGTGGAGCTTTTTTGGAGGCAACAATTGCAGGATCCAACAGTAGTACTACTAGGAATAGAGACTCTTGATATTACTGTGCATATTGAAGGCTACTAAGTGCTAAAAGTTTGCTTCGGGGGCTTGGATGACTTCTATGCTGTTTTAATGTAGGAAGTTTACTGGACATCCGTTCTGCATCAGTTTGCTCTCTACAGCTCTCTGAATGTTGTAGGTTTCTGTTATGATTGCCATCTTATTGCCTTTTTATATTTTACTATTAGTATTGTGATCAAATGTTGTTTTCTTGTTCTATAATCTTCTTAGTGTGTGTGTATTCTATATGAAGTTGGTATTTCTGAAAGACTAAAAGTTCATATTTCTTTTGTGAAGTGTGATTTAGGATGCAACGGCATCGTTTCGACTCTTACTGCTTATCGTGCTCCGTTTTTTCAAATCTGATTGTCTGCGTCATCATCTGCTTGTCATCGCTTCTTATCTTCGTGTCATCATGACTCTGGAACCCCAGTACATTGGCTGCCCTCAAAACTTAAACTTTCATCATGTATGACCAAGCTGCTCCACTTAGAACACATGCACTATGCTTGCCCTGGTTGAAGGAGATGAGATCTCGTCATTTTTCATCTAGCTTGGTTTTGAGGGCCATAGGAACCATCAAAAGTTTGTTTCTGGAAGATCTATAAGCATAATACACAAAGTGTTGAGAAGGAAATAAACTGCACATGCCTCTTTTGCTTTTAAGATTCGCAATATAGTAACATACTTCTCAGGGGACATTATGGACTTGACGTCCCTGCTTGTCAATGAGACTTGGTAAAAGTACTGCTCCAAATGTTATGTCCTCAGGGCAAAATAACCTTTTCTCTTCCACAGTTTGCAGGACATCAGTCGAAGGCCCTCAGCAGGTAAGGTTGTTTTATTTGCCTGCTTGCTATTTGGGTAAGTCGAAAACATGTTTCTTAGTCACTAACATGACATTGCTTTTCTCATCCTCAAATTATAGATGTGATGTGAACATGATCGTTGCATTGTCATTTCTTTTCATATTTTGTTTGCCCAACATCATTTGATATTTGCATAGTTTGAGATGGGGACCTAGGAAGGATTTATTCTCCTTTTGGTGTGCTTCACTGGTAGTAGACTATCAAGAACCACTGAATTGTTTTGAAAATAGTTATCTGCTTTGAGACTGTTTCCTGCCTAATATGCTTAATAAATCAGGCTAATGCTTATTGGTCTACTTCTTAAATGTCTATGGAACTTTTTCTTGGGATTTCTCAACTTGGCTTGCCTACAACTTACACAGAGGGCTTCTTTTTTATTTTGACTTGGAAGAGTATCAAACTGTGCAAGTCTTTAAATGATAAAAATTAGCATGTTGCTTCTTTGCTTTCTTTTGATTATTTTTGAATAGATATTGAATGTTATTGTGATTAGCTTTCACATGAAACTGAACACGTATTATATATGAAGTAATGGCTGTGCTAATGGCAATGAGTTTGTGTGCAACTTGCGTGGAAGGTCCTATGTTAAGCTATCGTTCTATTCTGGCTGGTACAATTTTATTTTTTTTCATAGCACTTGTGACATCTGTGCATAATTTCACCTAAACGCCTGTGTAAATTGCTGCTTGCTGTATAGATGTTGGTTGGTTTTTTACCTTAAGTATGAAGAATCCAGTGCTTCTTGCTACTTTTTCCATGTGATGTTTGGGGACATCTTTCGTATGACCTCTTCAAATTCAAGTGAATGATTGTGGATATGCTTGATAACCCCAGACAATTGTTCTAAGCTTGGAGATGGAGACCAATTGATTCTGTTTATTGTCACCGAGCCGAATATTAGTTACACATGGTTCTTAGTGTGATTTATGTCTCGTATTTGAATTAGTATAATTTTTTTTGGTAAATTATGTAATTAGGGGTGATAGTCTTGGTGTATAATTTCTTTACTTTTCCGAGTAGGTTTGTATCCGTTATGTTGTTAGTACGTAAATTGAATAGTAAATCTCAATTTATTCTTGGTTCAAAATTTAACCTGGCACCTATTCCTTATGTTTTGATCTGCACTTCTCATATGATTGCTATATAATGCTTCAATACTTTCCGTATGCAGTTGTTAGTAATGTCACTAATGTGAATGTTAATCCCAAAATATCTTTCAAATTTGATGTCCATATGTAATGACTGCACAAATCTACAAAACACATTAAAGGCATCTTTTAGAAGACAAAATGTGCGTAGTGCATTTTGTAGTTATTCCAAATGTATTTCACACACGATTTTCCACTCCCTCCACTTCCCTTCGTTCCGGTACAAATTGAGAAATTGGCATGACATTTTGGGATGGAGGGAGAATGAAATTGTAGGAATAGTGATTGTTAGAGAACCATTTCAACCAACAACTTAAGCTAATGATTGATGTCAAGAATATGTTTTATAATCTATTACGCCCCTAACACGAGAGTCTGTTGGGTTTGAAGTGTGGATGCAGCACCTCCTTATACCCTATTCCATTTTGAAATAAGGAGTGGATGAAATTCGAACCCGTTATCTTTATGTCACGCTAGCTTTGATACCATTAAAGTGTTTGGGAATATTTTCTGTGATCGTATTCCTTAAGCTAATGATTGAGGCTTAGGAATATGTTTTATTCTTTACTAGTGATGATAAGTTCTTTCTTATTTTTGTCAATTTTCAAGTTCGTTATTGCAAGGAAATTTCATGTCAAAGGACTTGCCACAACATTCCACAATCATTATTTTGTAAAAGCATAAGGTGGAAAAATTCAAAGTCAATGGTCAACAATTGGATACATTATATTAGTCAAAGAGAAGGAACGGGCATACAAGTGGTGGAAATACAAAGCCAATGGTCAGCACCTAATTCAAAGTATACTGATGATAGATTTGGATGGCTGATTGACTATAAAGTTAGCTATAGTATAAGGCTTATCCAAGTTAGATGCAGGCATACAATTTTAGACATGAATTCAGGGAATGTTGAAGCTTCCTTACTGCCCAAACACGATGATATCGAGTCACAAAACGAGAAGCTGCAAGGGACGGAAGAAGGAATTGGGATCGATATCAGGAAAGCTATCGTTAATCTCAAGAAGTTGAAGTCATTTGAAATTCTGAAGTCGGCTTTGAAAATATTTACCAGTAATACCAAGTTTATGCTCTTCATGATATTATCTATTCTTCCTCTTTTTGTTTTTATGGTCTTTTATGATATAAAACTCCAGAAATCAATAAGTTTTCTTTCATCAAACCCACTACTACTGCATAACTACCCCATGTCTATAACAACTATGTACGCATTTAATTCCTCAGTAAACAGTACTGCTTCAGCCTCACTAGATGATTATCAAGTCGTGTTGTACGATGGTAATGAGCTCATTAATACAACATATTTTGATCAAAGAAGGGAGTTTTTCATAAACACATTCCAACTTTCTCTCTTTTATTTGCTTCTCTATCCCTTTCTAGAGTTCTTTAGCTTGAGTTTAACTACGAAAATTGCATCGAAAGTTCATGCAGTTGAGAAACTGCCAACTCTCAGAGAGCTGTTTCACCAGAAAGTTAATTTCGGCAGTTCTTTTATTACCTATCTCTGTGTTCACTTGCTCTCATCTGCGACATTGTTAGGTCTTTCTTGGATAGTATTATTTCATAATCTTTTCTTCTCAGGACCTAGCTATTCCGAACAGGCTATTAATTTCTGGTATTTAACGGTTTGCGTACTTCAGTCAGTGATGTTTCTAGCTTTGCTTTACAAGTACCTTGATTGGAGTGCATTTTGGAATATGGGAATGGTGATTTCTTGTACAGAAGAACAAACTGGGGTTGCTGCGCTAGGATTGTCAGACTATTATGGAAGGCATTCCAAGAAAACCGGGTTTCAATTGATGCTCGGTTTTTTTATATTTGGTAATGTTCTGAGGCTCCCTTGTTTGTATGCCGGATTATGTAATGGGAGTTTTGCTGGTGTTATGATCACTTCCATTGTTATAATGTCAGTTTCAATTGGAAACTTGGTGAAGTGGATTGCTTTTCTATTGTACTTTCAATATTGTAAGCAGCAAACGATGGAAAAGAAGGTTGATGATCATAAGCAGGGGAAAACTGTGAAAGCAGCTGGGGATCTATCTTGATGTTTTAATTTAGTTTTGCTTTGAGGCTATCCTTTCTACTTGCAAAGTTGTGTATGCTATTGATAGAACAATGTATACTACAAGAGGGGGGGGGTGAATTGTAGTGTATGTAGACTATGGTAAATTTTGCGGAATTAAATCTACTACTAAGAGAAAAGACACTGAGATAGGCAATGAATAAATTCACTATGTAAAAATGATTTACAATCACTAATACGTTGCCTAGACTCAAGTTCCGTGAGGAACTCAAGTTACCCAACTGTGATCCCTCAATCACAGTTTCTCACACTTTGTGATTCTACTCCGAATCACTTGTACAGTGTAAACAACTCTCTCAAATCTCACACTTTACAACTCTCACAACCCAAACCCAATTACACAATGATTACAAGTATTTTCTAAAGAACTTAAGAGACTAAGGATGGAAGGAACTTCTCTTTTAAACACTTTGAAACTCTATGCTCAGAATACTTAAGATTGTTTTTCCACACTTTCAAAACTTAACGTTGATCTGTTTTTATAGGGAGATTATCCAAGCTTCCATCATGTTCCTACTTCCCCCTCAATCCCACGTTCACCTATACTGGGAAGTTGGGATGTAAGTGGAGGAAGTTGAGAACCATGATTTCACTAACTTGACTCCCAAATCCAACGTGCATCCTGTTTTTAAGCAAACAGAATTTTACCAAGTCAAAAATCAGTTTAAAAGAACATTTATTAAAAAGATAAATATTTATTTATTAAAAAGATATTTAAACAATTAATTAATTTAAAATAAATTTATCTTTTAAATTAAAGAATTATTTAGATTTTATTTATTTATAAAATAAATCTTTTCAACTGATTTTATCCCAATATTTTCAAACTGATTTTATCTCTTCCTGAAATTAAGGATTTTGAAAACTGTTAAAAACTTTTCTGAGTCATCCGTCAATCGTCAAGTTCCTTCAGGAACTTCAGGTTCCTTCAGGAACTTCATGTTTCTTCTTAGTTCCTTCCAACACTTTTGTTTCTTAAGTTCATACACTGAGTAACTAAGTATATAGAGATATGAGGACATCTTGAAAGCTTGCATTCATCATCAAGTCTTCCAAACTTTGTTGTTCCTACTCCGGAACATATTACTTCAAACCTGAATCTTCTGCTTAACCAAGACTCTTTTAAACATCATTAGTCGGAGTTTGTTTTACGTAAGTCAATCATCAAAATATAAGGTAGTCAATTCAACAGCTATAATTTGATTGTTTGAGTTGTAGTAACTGCAGTTCGTGTTGGGTTGGTTGTGGAGGGAGTTTAGTGAACTAAGTTCTTGTAAACTTGTGCTGACATTCATGATTGAATGGCGCAAGTGTTGTTATACAATGTTGTTGAGGAAGAGCGCAAAGCTTTGCAAACTGATGTATCATTGAACCATCTATTGTTCTGTTTTCGGAATATTTCAATGTTCATAGAACTATAAACATGAATAGAGCAACAGATTTAAAAACTTGAATACTAGTGATACATGGGAGTGTTAATTTAGTCTTTGGTCTGTGTTGTCTAGGAAGTTTGTAACAAAATATATGGAATGAACTTTATATGCCAAAGAAGCAGTTTTATGCAATTTAAGTTCTTCATTTGTTGTGCAAGGAAAAGAGAAGGAAATTAAGAAGACAAGGATGTAAAATGAGAATCTGCAGCAACCATGAGTGGGAAATCAGCAGTATTTTGTATCCATGAGAAATAGTTTTCATGCACGAATTTAGAACATGATGAAATTTTCCAATAAAACGAGCGAGCCAATCTCAAGTCTAGAGGCTGCAGGGAAAAAGGATCGGTATTGGCTGGATTGTTTTGAGCAAGCTGTCTATCCATTTCGAGCAGTTCCAAGTCCTTCGGAAATTAAAAATCAGTTCAAGTTTACAATGTTTCCCTTGGTTAGAAGAAGGAATATGTTGAGGTTTTGGTGGAGTAATTTTCTCTATTCTGTGCACACAATGACCTGTATAGTGATATGGTGCTATTTAGCAAGCGAATGGGTGCGCAATGAATATGAATCACTTCAAACGCAAGCATTTTGTGCACACGTCGTGACCGGGTAATGAGGGATTGTGGGATACATATATACTTGAATAGAAGCTCCAAATCTCTTGAAAAATTTAACACCTTATCCCCTCAAGTAAGTTAGTGTGACCTTTCCCAAAAGAAAAAAAAGTTAGTGTGACCAATATGGGCATAATCATCTTGATTTCATCAACTTGCAATTAGGCTGATAATGTGGAAAAACAAGTAGGATTATTTCAAAGTCAAAGGTCAATGGTCACTTACTTCAAAGTCAATGGTCAATTATTTTAAAATCAATTAAATGCATGTTAAGCCTAAATGTTTACTAAGCTAAGGAGTATTAGTGTATTACAAGAATACTGATGCACCTGAAATTTTCTATAAAAAACCACTTCGATCTAAAGCCTATCAAGGATTTTATAACCACTCCTAAATTATGGAGTAATAATTCATTCGTTTTGTATTATTTATTCAAATACCATATTTGATTAACATTGAGAATATATTGTGTAGGCATTCTAAGTCTTATATCACCAAGTATCATCATCATGCACGCATTTGCGTGCATTTTTTTTTTACCTTTTAGCTATTTCCACATATAATGTTAGCTAAATCAGAATTCGGAAAAGTTTAGTAGAAAATCATTAGTGTACCCTCGGAAAAAAATAAAATAATAAGCAGGTAGATAAGACAGTTATGAGTTCAGGTTTTGATCAATCTTTCCTACGCAATGAAGACGATCTCAAGCATCTGACGTCGTTGGAGATTCTGAAATGTGCTACAAAAATCCTGAAGAGTAACACCATGTTCATGGTCTTAACTATTATGTCTGTTTTACCTTTGTTTGTTTTCATGGTTTTATATGAGATCAAAATCTCCGAAGTAATGGATGATGTATCAAAGTTTCTACTACCACCTTCCTTTCCGTACACCTACCATTTTACTGGTGAAGAGTTTGAATATGATGAAAATGATCTCAGAAGGAAACACTTTCGTGTCGTTCTATAGCTCTTCCCGTTCTATCTGGTACTTCTCCCTCTTCTCAAAATTTTTAGTTTGCCCTTAACTGTAAATCTTGGGGTGAAAATATATGCAGGGGAAAGGTCATCATCATTAACTGTCAAGGAGATTACAAAAGAAGGTATCTACAAGAATGTTATCCTTAAAGGTGCTTTTATTACCTTGTTTTGGGTTCAACTACTCTCAATTTGTACATTTGCTGGTTTATTTTGGACAGTTTTAAGCCACCATTTTATCATGCAATACCTTTTCTTAAGGGAAGATTTCGTGAAAATCCTGTCAATAGGGTTTCATGCACTGATTTTTTATGGTATCCTTTACAAGTATCTAGAATGGATTGTTTTGTGGAACATGGCTATGGTGATTTCTATGTTGCAAATCGAAGCCAGCCTCTATGCATTAGAGTTATCAGCTTACTATGGAAAACATTGTAAGCGAACCGGGTTCAAATTGATGCTTATGGTGTTGTCATACAGTTTTGTTCTGAGGCTGCCCTTTTTACTTGCAAGAATGTGTAACTATGTGATTGTTGTTACAGTTGCTGTCACTGTAATTGGTTTTGGGTTGGTTTTCTTTGGGAGCTTGGTGAAGTGGGTTGCTCTTGTGGCGTACTTTTATGATTGTAAGGCTCAAGTATCGTCGAAGAAGGCTCAAGAGGAGGTGCACAAAGCTGTGGAAGCTGATGATCTTTGTTAGGAGATATATATCGCATTTTCATATACTACTGCTATGTACTTCGTATAAAGCTTAATTGTCCAAGTTTACTTTTGACACTCTAATTGTATAGAGTTTTGTTAGGTCAGAATACTTGAAGGCTAGTGAGCTATCTTGATTTTGATATGTGGGGGTGTTAGTGGGATAGCTGGAATACCAAAGTTGGCAAATTATAGCATAAAGTATGCAATTTGAATAACACGTCTATCTAATATTAGCTACTCCAGTACTCCCTCCATCCGGAATTAGTACTTTGATGTAGTAACATAAATGAAAATCTGTTCTAAGGATGGCATAATAATGCCGACTTTTTTTACTGGCCAAAGTGAAATGAAATTTAGAATATTGGAGCATTACTACTTTGTCTTCCCTTGATGTGTTGTTTCTATAGAAATTACCTGTAATGCTTCCTTTAACAATTGTTTCTCCTGATATAAAACTTGTATCAAAGTCAGCAGAAAATTCTCAGACCCTGCAGTACTATGGTAATATCTGCAGTTATTACTGTTACCCTTGTCAGAATGTCCCTCTTCTATCTAGAGTTCTGTAGCGTGAATCTAACCATGCTGATTTCTGCAAAAGTTTACGAAGCTAGCAAATAAACAAGCAACTGATCGCGGAGTGGAAAAAAAGTTGCACATCAACCAGGAAACAGGACTTGTTAGCAGCGGAGCCTCTCCAGTTGCTTATTGAACCCCTTAGAGACTCAGATTGTTGCAAATAATGCTAAGGAAGTTTTTATTTGTTTTGGAGGAAAACTCTTTGTCCCACATTGGTGGGATAAGGAAGGCTTTACTTGATTTATATATTGGAAGAAAAGGGGTTTTGTCCCACATTGGTGAAAGAAGTAAATTTTATTTGGTTTAAATATGTGTGTTTATACTTTGATATTTGAAGTGTTTTCTCTATTGTTGTGGGCTAGAATGGGGCATCCTCATGCACACGTTGTTGGCATTTGGTTCATGGCACATGCGTGGTATGTCTACTTTTTTGGGCAAAGTCGTAATTGACGTTACAGCTTTTATGAGATTGTTCAGTTACGAAGCCCACGACAGAGTTTGACTCGGCTTTTCTCCAACAGATCTATTATTTCGTGGCTTGATTCTCTCCAACAGTTACGGTTTTCTTCATCCTTATAACCTGATCTTTTCGTGGCTTTTGAAATACACAAAAAAACTCTTTTCTTCTTCTTCCTCTATTATTTTCAGTTTTCCTCTAAAGTTGTTCTAAGCATATTGTGAGTTCTTAATCTCTCTTTTTTAGTGCACATTAAGGGAGATCGATGTGTTAAATCTTAAGGGGCAACGCCATCTCCGATTGCACCATAGTCGGGGAGAATTTTGCTTCTAAGACAGTGTTTCTAACACGTCACAGCGTTATACATACATTACGAAATTCGGTCCACATTCCAATCTTTATTTTCTGATTTTATAGTATCTCAACCTACAATTTAGAAGCATAATTTTCTACTGTAATTTCAGATCATGGATTTTTCAATCACAAAAACCCTACCTGATCTCTCTAAACTTGAACCCCTTGATGGGACTAACTACAAACGTTGGTCTCAAAAACTGTTACTCTTCTTCGAACAATTGGAGGTCGATTATGTTCTTGTTCGTGACTGTCCGGTTCGCCCTCAAGCCGGAGATACCTCTGTTGCTTCATCTTTTGCCATAGACGAACAGATCGCTAAATATGAGAAGCATAACAAGTTCGTTCGAGGTCATCTTCTGAGTCACATGTCCAACTCGCTGTTCAATTTCTTCATCAACAACAAATCTTCCAAATCTATTTGGGAGACTCTTGAGAAGAAATATGGGAATGATGATGCGAGAAAGAAGAAGTATGCAACGGGAAAGTGGCTAAAATTCCAAATTGTTGATGACAAGCCGATCATGGAGCAAGTTCATGAGTACGAGAACCTGGTAGCTGACATTTTGGCCAAGGGTATGAAGATGTGCGAGGTGTTTCAAGCCAACGTTCTGATCGAGAAGCTCCCTGATTCGTGGTCCAACAACCGCAACCATCTCAAACACAAGAAGAAGGATATGTCACTTGAGGAGCTAGTCGGTCATATGAAGATTGAAGAAGCCAACCGCCTTAAGGATAAATATTCATCTCCTTATGAACTTTCTGTTAAAGCTAACATTGTGGAATCTTCTGTTCCAAAACATGACAGGTTTAACAAACAAAACAAAGCTGCTGCAAATTCCAAGAAGAACCAAAATCAGAAATCGATTGGAGTTCAAAACAAAAGGAGCAATAACTTCAAGAAAAACCACAAATCTAAGAAGGGTAATGGTGGCTGTTATGTCTGTGGAAAGCAAGGCCACAAGGCATGGCAATGCTACAACCGCAAAGATGCATCTAACAATGGGTAGAAATTAGACCAGAACAAGAACCAAGCCCATATTGTTGCAGAATCTGATGATGTCATTGCTGCCGTAGTTTCTGAAATCAACCTCGTCGACAACAAAACAGAATGGGTCGTTGGCACCGGAGCCACCAAACAATTTTGTTCGGACAAAGACCTTTTTATCGAGTTCCATGAGTTTGCCAAAGCTGATCAGGTGTACATGGGCAATTCCAGCAGTTCCGAAGTTCTCGGTAAAGGAAAAATTCTCCTTAAATTAAATTCTGGAAAATCTTTGTCTTTGCAAAATGTGTTGTATGTCCCTTCCCTTCGTAGAAATTTAATTTCTGGTGCACTTCTAAACAAGGCTGGTGTGAAACTTGTTTTTGAAGGCGATAAGTTAGTGTTATCTCGTAATAGGGAATTTGTGGGGAAAGGATATCTGTCGGGTGGACTATTTATTTTAGAAACTGTATTTGTTGCTGATTCTATTAATAAAGTTTTTACTTCTACTTCTATTTTTGAGACTTTTGATCTTTGGCATGCTAGATTAGGACATGTAAATTATGGTTCCATGAAACGCTTGCAAAACATGTCTTTAAGTCCTAGTCTAGTCTGTAATGGTCATAAATGTGGAATCTGTGTTGAAGCTAAACATTCCAAGAAATTATTCAAACCTGTTATTAGTAGACAAACTGAATTGCTTGAATTGGTTCATACGGACTTAGCTGACTTTAAGAATACTGTAAGCAAAGGCGGAAAACGGTATTATATTACCTTTGTTGATGACCATTCTAGATATACCAAAGTGTATCTGTTAAGAACCAAAGATGAGGCGGAAAACATGTTTTTAATTTATAAGACAGAAGTTGAGAATCAATTGGACCGTAAGATTAAAAGACTTAGGTCAGAGGGGGGGGAGAGTATGGAACCATTTTTTTAAAAGGACTTTGTGAGAAAAATGGAATCATCCATGAACTTTCTGCTCCCTATACTCCCTAACAAAATGGCATTGCTGAAAGGAAAAATGGAACCCTTAAGGAAATGATGAATGCCATGTTGATTAGTTCTGGTTTTCCTGCTATTATGTTGGGGGGGGGGGGAGGCCATTCACTCATCTACTTATGTGTTGAACAAAGTACCTCATAAAAAACTCGATATAACTCCCTATAAATTATGGAAAGACCATGTGTCTATCCTTAAATATTTGAAAGTGTGGGGGTGTCTTGCTAAAGTTTCTTTACCTTCCTTTAAACGGGAAAATATTGGACGTAAAACCTTTGATGTTATATTTGTTGGTTATGCTGCAAATAGTGCAGCCTATGGGTTCATGTGCTTAAATGGTAAATCTATGTGTGAATCTAGAAATGTTGAATTCTTTGAGCGTGTTTTCCCTTTGAAGAAAATTAATGTATCACATGATGTGACTTTATCTGCTCCTTCATCCTCTTCTATGCCTATTCCTTCTCCTGTTGTAATGATGATGTTGTACAACCTTGGAAAAGTAAGAGATGTAGAACTGAGACTAGCTTTGGTCCTGATTTTTTTTACTACTTTCTTAACTGAACTCAATGATGTTGATGAAATAGATGAACTTGTTGTATGTTATCATTTGTTTGATGATGATCCTAAAACATTTGAAGAGGCCATTTGTTCAATTGATGCAAGTTTTTGGAAGGAAGCTGTTAATAGTGAAATAGAGTCCATCATGTCTAATCATACATGGAAACTAGTTGATTGGCCTAAAGGTAGTAAAGCCATTGGTTGAAAATTGATTTTTAAAATAAAACTTAGAACTGATGGTACTGTTGAAAGGTATAAGGCAAGACTAGTAATTAAAGGCTCCACTCATAAATTTGGTGTTGATTTCTTTTACACTTACTCACCAATGACTAAGATCGCCACTTTACGTACTTTACTTGCATTAGCTTCTAGCTATAATCTGATTGTGCATCAAATGGATGTAAAAACTGCTTTTTTAAATGGCGACTTAGAGGAGGAAATTTATATGGTTCAACCTCTAAGTTTTGTGGTTCCTGGACAGGAACAAAAAGTGTGTAAGTTAAAGAAATCCTTGTATGGGTTAAAATAAGCTCCAAAACAGTGGTATGAAAAGTTTCATAAAACAATACTTAGTTTTGGGTTTGTAGCAAACCGTGCTGATACTTGTGTGTACTAAAAAATGTTTGGATCTGATTGTGTAATTGTCTGCTTATATGTAGATGATATGTTGTTTTTTGGTACACATATTGATGTTATTAATGAAACAAAAGAATTTCTTTCCTCTTATTTTGAGATGAAAAATTTAGGTGAAACTGATGTGATTTTGGGTGTTAAAGTACCAAAACTAGTAATGGTTTCTCTTTGTCTCAATCTCATTTTGTGGGAAAAGTGTTAAAGAAATTTAACAATTATGATGTTGTGCTTGTTAAAACTCCTTATGATGCTAGCATTCATTTGAAAAAGAACAATGGCAATAGTGTGTCACAATGGATTGGGTGTTAAAGTTACCAAAACTATTAAGGTATCTTCGAGGCACTATCGATTGGGGTGTGCATTATGTTGGTTTTCCTGCTATGTTAGAAGGATATTGTGATGCAAACTAGGTGTTTGACAATGATGAGGTAAGCTCCACTG